TCCCCTCGCAAGGTCGTCTATCCTTCTCTCTGTCTGCACCCTTAAACACCAGGGTAACAAACTCACCTCTCAGTTTTCATTACGTCTGATGACAAGCAAGTGACACATGCTGGAACCTATGCATTGAGACAACCAGATCCAGGTTATATCTAGTGCAATGTGCTTGCCAATCAGGCACTTTATTATTGACGGTGCGCATTTAGTAAAAATAGTTGCGCTGTTTAGAGGACAGCATTATTTTTTTCGACCAAAAAAATAGAATTTGATGTGAGGATTAGGAAGACGTGTAGAACGCGCGGCAGCATGGGTCAAGTACGTCCCTCAACAGACACTCACCTTAAATGGAAATATCGAAAATGCAGTTTTTCTCAGACAAAAGAAAACGCCTAGAAACCAACTTTTTCCGGTTGAAAACGCATGACTAGCTTTAGTGTACCTTACAGATAAAGAGCAACGTGGTAAAACGGGTGATCAGCCATAAAACGTGACCCATATCAAGCTGCCAGTACCTATTTACATCAGAAGGACACATACAAGACATATTTTTTAAAGGCCGCCTGAAGGAGAAGCGGTAACCTCAAAAATCCAAACCTAGAGTGGATACAACGTGCAAAGTTTTAATTTAGGTTTTTGCTTCACTTTATTTAACTGTAAGCTGAAGTTCAAAACGCGAATACGCACAGTAGATGTGCTATCTTATGAATTGTTGATTGAAATTTTAAAATGCGTTTTAAGCTAAATGTGAAGTCAGGTCAGGTTTATTGATGGAAATGTAGGTAAATGCCTTTGAACTCCCTATTCGTGCATAGCAGCTACAAAGTGCATTGGATCAGCAGAAAATTGCAAAAGAGCGGCGTTGCCAGTAAGTGGAACTGGGTAAACAGAGTAGATAGTGAAAAGCTCCTTAGCCATTGTGTGTGCTTAAGCGTGGCCGTACTATTAATTATACTGAAGTATAATCCGTAGATATTTGATTCATGTCAAGATGCCAGCTTTTAAAGCTTCTTTTTTGCTGTCTGCAATAACGAAATTCTGTAAGAATTTACTAAATTAATACCAATTTTGCCAGTGATATGTGATACCCTTGTAGATTCAAATACCTAAAGAAAGGATGCCAAAATATTCTTTCATGTACTCCTTTGATAGGGAAATAAGTATTTGTCAAACATTATAGTAGAAGAAGGGGAGATTTCGGTTTTAAAGTTTTTTAATTATGAAATTTCTAAGAAGATTAAACGCCTACTGGTACGTTCATTTACAATCACTGCCAGTCAAGTATACAACATGGCCCACATACACTACAAAACTTCGTGAACTCCAGTACACCTTTTTAGTAGCACATATGCATGTACAATACTGCTTGCATAAATAAATAGACACATTATAGGTTGGAAATCCTGACTTTAAATGGAACAACTGGGCAGGTTTAAAAGTACTCGGAAATTGCAATGCTTTTAGATACCAAAACAATTCGTTTTTCAATTATAAGGATCGAAGGAGACGTGACTT